GAAAGGTGGGGAGGGGGAGACCCCCCATGCGGGCGCGTGAGCAGCCCGGAACGGGGACCCCCGGATCGGCCCCTCTTCCCTCCCACATGTTGGAGGGCTCCGCCGGCGGCCCCGGGACCTCGGGGGTGATGGCGGGGGCCGGGAAGAGAGCCCCCCCATTCTGCTGACACACACACCCCCCAGACCCCAGGCCAAGGACACTGAGAGGCGAAGATCTGGGACCACCAGACCCGGGCTGGAAGGTAAGGTCGTTTCCCCTTTCCCGAGAGTTGTCAGACCCGGAGAGCCAGGATCTGCAGCCCCCACCCCCTCCCCAGCCTGTCCCTGTTTACTCACGAGTAACCCCCACGCCCAATCCCGTGTGCATACGACCGCACCCCACCCCCACCCCCTTTGCAGAGACAAGTTGCTGGCCTCGAAGGTGCTGCTGGACTTCGAGCTCACCGTCCCAGGTTCCAACCTGGGGTGGAAGAATGGGCGGTTCCTGAGCATACGCCCCCCCCCCCCCCCCCGGCTCCCACAGGCTGTGACAATCGAAGGGCAAGGGTTCTTCCCGGACTTCCTTCTTAGAAAGCGGCGACCACGTTTCCGGCATGCAGGGAGACCCACCCCAAAGGAATGTTTTAGACTAGGCAGGAGTTCAGGCACGCGAGGATTCGGGACCGGTCTCTGGGTGAGTCCGTGAACGACTCGGGAGGCGGGTTGCTCAAATGACCTCCCTCCTCGGTCACATTTCTCCCCTCCCGGGGTGGGGGGCAATGTTCCCTCTAAGCTGTGGAGTCTTGTGAGCCAAAATTCTGCTTTGTGAGCTCCTGGCATTAAAGTTGTGAGCGAGCCATTTGGCGGCTGCATCAATTAGTTTGCTCTGGAGCCCTCCTCCTCGAGCTAAGACAAAAAATGTGTGAGCCAGAGGCTAAAAAACTGTGAGCTGGCTCACACTAACTCAGCTTAGAGGGAACACTGGTGGGGGGAGGGGAGAGAGAGCGCTCTCGGTCGGGGGCTTTGATCCTTGGCTATTGCCCAATTCCCCCGGTGCCAAGAAGTCCGGGTCGCTGCCTGGACGTCCCACCGCCCTGCTCTGGGAGGTCATAAACTTCATCCCAGATTTCCGGGGCTGGCTTGGCCCACCCTTGGAGAGGGGGGGGAGGGGGGCCGGGGCGCTCTGTGCATGGCCAGGGAGCTCTGTGTGTGGCGCTGCTCCTGCCGGACCACAGCTGAGCTCTTGATCCCCGACCAGCGTTCCCTCTAAGCTGAGTGAGTGTGAGCCAGCTCACATTTTCTAAGCCTCCAGCTCACGCTTTCTTGTCTTAGCTCAGGAAGGAGGGCTCCAGAGCAAACTGATTCACGCACTAGCCACATCGCTCACTCGGTGGCTCACAGAGTAGAATTTCTGCTCACAAGACTCCGCAGCTTAGAGGGAGCATTCCCAAGGGAGAAGTGTGTGTGTGTGTGTGTGTTTGTACGTGTGTGTGTTGTCCTCCCTCATTCAGTCCCCCGACTCTCCTCTCCCACCCCTACCTAGCCGTGCCACACCCATGTGCAAACTTCTATGCAGCATCCATCATGAGGATCAATTACTCCTCCTCGGCCCCCTCCCTGTACACGTCTCCCCCAAACTCAGCCCCATTGAACTGAGTAGGACTTAGAATCATAGAACCAGAGAGCTGGAAGGGACCTCCAGGATCATCTAGTCCAACCCCCTCCTCAATGCAGGATCAGCCCAGAGCATCCCTGACAAGGGTTTGTCCAGCTGCTGATTAAAGACTGTCAGTGAGGGGGAGCTCACCACCTCTGGAGAAAAATTTCTTCCTGACCCCAAAGTGGAGATCAGCATTACCATGGGTGACTAAGAAAGGTTCTTACTTCTGAGGAACCGTGCTCGGGCTATTCTCCCAATCAGCAGAGAGGTTAAAAATTGGATTGTTATTATTATTTTTTTGCTCTTATTTTCCCGTACCTGTTGATGGGTTGGTGGGGGAGGGGGTCTCCGTGTTTGTGTTCTTGACGGCGAAAGGGTTGTTTGTTGGGGTTTAATCTGGGTGGGAATGAAAGGGCCTGGCTTTATTGGGGAGGAAGGTCCTGGATTCGAATTCTCCTGTGGTTTTTTTTTGGGGGGGGCAGGAACTTTGGAGTGGAAGTCTCCACCCTTGTTTCCCCAAGGGGGAACACAAACCCCGGACTCTCCCACCCACCCCTTTCCTCACATGTGAGGGGTGCACTGGGAAGAACTTGGCCTCGTTGACCCCCGGGAGGGGGTTTGAGTGATCTTGTCTGAACATGCCTGTGTGTTTGAGAACGTTTTGCAAAATCTGCTGCAGTGCATGAGAACTGACGTGCAGGTTGGCCCTTGCATTTGGGCAAAGGTGAGGGGCACGTTAGCTGAAAGACGGTGGGGGGAGGGTTGGTAGTGAACATTTGGGGCTTTCTGCGGGAAGGGTGCGTGGGAGGACTGCATTTGTGCTTTGACTACGCTCTCCAAGGTTTGGAGAGGGAAGGCGGAGGAATTCGTTGGAGCCCCGGCCCCATCCCCACGCAGATCAATGTCTTGTAAGAGCTCAGGGTTTGCCTTTCATTGGGGGGGGGGAGAGGAAGAATCTACTACCCAAAGAGTCCTTGGGATCCACTGGTACGGAACCAGAGTCATAATTTGGGTGGATTTTGTGTGGCGGGAGGCGGGGAGTCTCGAATGGGGAGTCGGGTGGGGGTGGGAAGGAAATGACTCCTATGGGATTTGTTTTCCTGATCCGGGTCTGTCCTGGGAAGGTATTTGGAGGAGGAGGGGGAGAGGCCGATCTGGGCACAAAGGGGACAAGAGAAAGGTCTGATCCGAGGGAAGCATGTGGAGGAAGAGAGGGCGATTAAGGGAGGCATTTTCCTCACCTGGACTGGGCAAGGAGGACTGCCCCTGGAGAAGAGGGGAGCCGGGTTCGACGGCGTCAGTACGGCCCACCCAGTTTCTCTGGCTCTGCCTGTTGAAGCAGAGGCCCCGGAGGTTCGAGGACCGGCCCCTGCTCGGAAACCTGGTAAAATCCGTTACCTTCAGGCCACCTGGTGGGATAAAGCTGCAACGCTCTGCACGTTCTCAGAGGCACTCATCCCCGCTGTCGCTGCACACCATCAAGAAAAGGTCTACGGTATCCCACTGGGAAAAGGCATCAGGATCTAAGGGTGCCAGGAAGCGGCACTCCTTGAAATGGAAATCCCCCCCCCTTCACCTTCCCAAAGATGACAACAGTGAGGACTGGGACCCTCTGCACATCCTCAGAGACACTCTTCAAGTCGGCTCTGAGCGTTGGAAAACAAGCTCTGGTGGACCCAGCCCTCATGCACGCGGGACACTTTTCGGCTTTGTCCCTCCATGTTTCAGAGCAGCAGGCCCAAATAGGCAGAGCCTCCACGTGCCAAGGCAGTCTACCGGCCAATTCCAGCTGCTGGGAACATGACCTCTCCATCCTGCTTGTGAGTTTCTGACTGGGGAACATCTGTGGGAAGATGGCTGCATTTTGATGTGAACAGTCCTTGGAACCAGGAGGACAAAAGGACACCCGGAAGCAGGCAGCTGTGGTGGAACGGCTGGCAGGATTGGATCCTGAAAGCAGTGTCATACCTTGAGAGGTGGGGAAGGAAATGAGAAGAAGAGACTGGATTTATACCCCGCCCTTCACTACCCGAAGGAGTCTCAGAGCGGCTTACAATCTCCTTTCCCTCCCCACAACAGACACCCTGTGAGGTAGGTGGGGCCGAGAGAGAGCACTCCCAAGGACTGCCCTTGAGAGAACAGCTGTGAGAGAACTTGTGACTGACCCAAGGTCACACCAGCAGCTGCATGTGGAGGAGTGGGGGAATCAAACACGGTTCTCCCAGACTGCAGAGTCCGCGCTCCTAACCACTACACCAAACCGGCTTTCAGGTTATGGAATTATCTGTTGATGCCTTCAGCTCTGCTGAGACCTGATTTTGGGTACCAGCGCTGGGGATTTGCAGTATGCAGCCAGGGGCGGTGCACAAAATGTGGGCCACGAAACGACTTGGCTGGCGCAGTCTGGATTTTGCCAGCTGCCTTTTGGCTGTGAAAGAAAGCCGCCGTCTTATCTTCAAAGCCCTGCCCGTCGCTTCCCTGCCAGGCCACTCTGGAAGCCTCTGGGTTGGCCCCGGTTTCTCCGTGTGCGCTTTCTCCAGCTTTGCCTCCCCAAAGAATTACCAGGATGACCTACTTGCCTTTGCGAGCGGTTCTGTTCTTTAAAAAAAACAAACCTAGAGGCATTGTGGGATGGAAGCCGTTCTGTTCCAAAGCACAAGGCCTGTTCCCCAGTCCTGGCTGCAGTCCCTCGGTGACAGGAGGAACATATTCTGCACATGCTCAGAGGAAGTGCTTTATTCTCGGTGAGTTCTCGGCTCAAACTCTGGAGACAGGGGCCCGCTGCCTGCCCAGACTCTGATTGGCAGCTGCCGTCAAGCTGCCTACCTGTTTTGCCGCCAGAGTTTCCATCCCCTTCTTTCTAACAGACGCGCCATAACTAGCTGAGGTCAAACCAGGACACTCACCCTTTGCAATAGCAGCCTGCTCAGTGTGGAGGGATCTCTTGGGCTGAGGACTTTCTCTGCAAATCTCACCGACATTTTTAATATATTTTTTTTGCAGAAACCGAAGAACCACAAGCGGCCCGCTTTCCTCTCTGGCCGGCTCTGTTTGGGAGCAGAGTCCCAGACAGAGGGAGAGGATGGGGGGGCTTGAGTGGAGTCTTTGTTGTTGTTTTTTTTTATAAAAACCCTCTTTGGGAAAGGAAAGTAGGGGGCACTAAGGCTCAACAGGAGAACCCGAGCAGACCCCGAACCCCCAAAAGCCCGAGAGCGGAATTCTGCGGTCACTTCAAGTAATGCAATCATTTTGGTCTTGGGACTCGGCTTTTGCAGGGCAACGTCTGCAACAGAAAACCTTCTTTTCCTCTTTTCTCACCACATCTGGCTTTTTATGAAGTCCTACACCCCACTGGCTCTTCCTCCCCTTTGTGTTTCTCCTTCCCCTTCAAGAGTAGAAAGTAGGATGTCCCAAAGTTAACCACAATGCATCCCACGATATCGCTCTCTCTCCCCCCCCCCCGGAGCTGGAAGAAACCTACTAATCTTTTGGTTCTCCCCTCTTAATTTCCCACTTTCAGCCGGAAACACGCGGCTAACCATCACATTGTTGAAAACGGTACAAACCTCCCCCCACAAATGCAATACAGTAAGAGACTGGGCG